GAGTCGTCGAGCCCCTCCTTTATTTCGGCGAGCTTGCTCACTATCTCGGGGAATAGCGGCCGCGCCTTGGCGTCGTACTGAAACAAATACATTATTTCTTGCAATATATTTTATGTAAAGTCAAACTTTTATCCTTTAACGTCTTGCAGTCGACGGACAATATGTATATTGACATTTATTACGTATATAGAACTTACAATGCAGCAGTTGAATGCGAGTCGCAGCAGGTCGGGCACGGTGGTCTCGTCGCACAGCTCCACGAAAGTCACGTAGTTGAGGCCGAAGTTGTCTGTGCGCGGCAGCACGTCGGGGTCCGCGTCCACCTGCAAGCGATACATATTTAAACATATTTATGGTCCTTCGAGTCGGATACGAATGTCAGTAACGCAAGTCAAAGTAGACATGCGAGCTGTGGAGACTGACCCTGGCGATGATCTGGCAGAGTATGATGCCGTAGGAGAAGATATCGGAGCGGTGGTCGTACCAGCGGCCGCGCAGGCACTCCGGCGACATCCACCACGGCGACCCCACACTCGGCAACCGGTATCCGTTACTGCTAACACATTATGTTAAGATTAGTTTTTATTTTTTTTGCACTATTTATGAATAATCCAATTGGAATTACCAACAGTGTGAATTTAATGGACAATCAAATAGCTACACTTACAGGTGCCGATTAGCCAACAATTATAAGTTAACAGTGTTACAATGGAGACGTGTGCACTCGAGTGCTTGCACGCACTGCGTACTGTTACACGCACGTTTGCGTGCGCGCTACCAACACTGCTAATGGTTTCGACAAATCTATGAAATTACAAATCGCACGCATCTTTTTAGATACCTTCATAAGGAAGACACTCATATCTTTTTGATTAGTTTTGGATTTAACAATTATGGGTATATTTAGTTGGTTTCCTTACACGGGGTGAGGAATCTTCGCTGCAAGACCAAAATCAGCCACCACTGCTGTGTACTCTCCGTCACCTTGCTTCTTCAGCAATACATTCTAAAATACAAAGTTTAAGTACCATTAGATAAAAAATGAATAGAACTGACTACTAGATTAAATTATTCTCTTGCGAGAGTTCATAAACCTGCCGATGTCTGATGTGGTTTAGATAAGTGCTAATCGTGTAGTGTATGTACCTTTGCAGTGAGGTCACGGTGGAAGACGCCGAGCGAGTGCAGGTAGGCGAGGCCGCTGGCCATGTCTGCGGCGAGGGAGACTCGCAGTGGCTGCGGCAGGGGAGCGGCGGGCCGCGACAGCAGCAGCTGCTCCAGCGACCCACCCTCCATGTACTCTGTCAGCGCGTGCAGTTGCCCTTCGTGCACACACACCCCCATGAATCTGCCGACAACACATAACATGTAAGATGAGGTAAACGAGTGAGCGATTCACATAATGTCCAATAACGATTTAAAAACTACTATATATCGGCTAATGTGACACGTTGGTATAGAGACCTAGATTCTTATTATTAAAGAATTAGCAATAAAAAGATATCTTTAAAACTACATCTATGTTTACGCTACGGTGGTATCTGTGAAAATATGATCTGAATGAATATCAACAAACATCACCGTTGGATAATACGCGATCGTACGAAAGTGCGCCGCGGGGGGGCCTTGCAATTGGAAAACTATGGAAACCGCCAGCTCGCTGCCTTCTCACCGTTTTCCAATTTAAACCGTTTACATTAAATTACATTGAGACGAGGCGGGGTATCAACAAGCCGATATAAGATGCAGTAAATGATTAGATTCGTGATTGATGTCCTCGCGGCATATAGTTGTTATCGAAGCAGAGAAACTGAGCTCGAGTTATACGACAATAATGTTTGCGTCAACATTGAAACTTTCACAATTATAAACAGCGTAAAGCTTGAATGCATTATAAAGGAACATGGTATGTACAGGTTTCGAAAACTTATTTCATATTATTACATTGAACTCATAGAATCGATTTCAAGTAACAAACGAGCACGGCGAATGTTCACGAATTTTGCTGCTAAAATCGACTTATTAACTCACATAAACGGTTTTTATTTTCAAAACCTTTTCTGATATTTTTTTTCAATAACAAGAGACAATAAGGCTTTAACACTTTAGATTTTCCACGATTCACTAGCATTACGCTATGAGACTGACAGACATTTCCTCACGATGCGATCGATGGAGAAGAAAATCACCAATTAAATACGTCGCGTGTACACTTAGAGGGCACAATTATGAAGCGACTACCGTGAAAAATAAAATAAATTCGATGTACGACGCACGCGCACGCAACGAGCCGATTGAAAGTGAAATTTTCCTAGGAAGTCCACCCTGAAGTTCAGATATGTTTCTTGTAGGTTCATTATTTCCTTTCAAAAGAAATTTTTCGTTATAATATAATCTGTCCCGGGTTTGTGTGGTTATATGGTTTTATGAAATGTAAAATAATCAACGTAAAGCCAATACTTTTAACTTCTTGGAGTAGACTTAACAATTATAAAGGTAAAAAAAGTATATCTCGACTGCTACTGTCTTTAAAAGTACTTATAGTTCAATGGATATTACTCAGCTCTCTAACTAGAAAAGGTTATTGAAAGAACCACGTCACTGGGACAGTAAATATAAATAGCAAAACGGTTTACAGAGACGAGAAAGCGATTTAATTGGCAGTTAACGAGATAATGATTGCGCAATAATCGGAACTGTAGTGTATTGTGTCGCTGCTTCCGAAGACAAACGAGATGAACCGAAATCCGGGCCGAAAACAGCGGTTCATTGTTGAGAGGGTCCCGCATTTCGTAATGAAATGTTATACAAAGATGACAATTCTGCGAGAAGTGAGCGGTGACGGCGTGACCCGAGAAATTTTCAAAACAAAGGTTACGTGTAAAGGCGCAACGAGGACGGATGTAAGAGTTATGCAAGCCATGAGAATGGGAGTAAGTAAGTCGTTTAATTCATTTGGCGAAAGCACGAACAGTTAATGCTAAAGAGAGATCTACTATGGACACTTTTACTGGCGATTTTGCCGTTTCACTGCCCATATGTTATGTACTCTATTCAATGATTTTGCGTATTACGCATTGTTTGGCTGTATTCTGGAGATACTTTAGACAATTTCTACTGAATATTATTCACGTAAGTAAATCGAATCATGCGTCAGCAAAATTTTTACGCATACATTTACGTTTTAAAACAAGCACGAATTTTTTTAAAACTTTCACCTCAAAAGAAAAGCAGTACAACATCTGTATTTCATATTGACTTATTGCATTTTTTAAATATTAGTACATAAACCTGGTATTATTTCCAATCATAAATGCAGTTATGTTTGTTCAGGTTGAGTATACATAAAGGACGTAGGAATTTTAAAGGCAAGTCGGCGGCGGGTCATTGAACTAAAAGTAAAAAAGGTGAATGAATAACCAAATGCTAAAATTAACATGCAAATAAAGACTTGAAACATTGCGTGTTTCGGCGTCGCCCAAGAAAAATTCCTCAACAAAACTGCAAACGAGCAAACGTGAGAGCCGCGTAAACGAAGGAAGGTAAACGAACAGGGCAGATAAGATAAAATTGCAATTGTATAATGGGGCCGCCGTTTGAGGATATCTCGAGCGCCCGATGTAATGTAGCTGAAACTGTTTTGTAATGAAAATTCTACTCAGAGTCAAGACTAAAATATTGTTTTAATATTTATGCAAACACAGAACATGGACGATAAGATTTAAGAGCAGATTATTGTATTCGAGGTGTCGGTAATCGAATCTCCTTTCTATTCTGTTCCCAAGCTTTCTTTTGTTTTCCATAGATAATTGGGTTGCTAAGTATGTAACGTAAGTTGTGTAGACTCACCCGAGTATATTGGGATGTTTCAGCTTGTTCATAAGCTGCACCTCGCGCAGCATGTTGGGCCGGTTGGCGCGCTGTTGGTTCATCTTCAGCACCATCACCTTGCCTGACGTCTTGTGGGTCACCTGGCAACAAAAAAAAACCAATCATTAGTTATGATATTACGGTATACATTACCAGTAAACACGGCATATACTTTCGCAGAAAAATCGGTTGTTATTTTTTGTTTCTTACACATAATCGTAACTTTTATAATATTAAATCAAGTTAATTCAATAAAAATAAATGCATTAACTAGAGTAATAAAAAAAAACCGTGTTTTCATACATAACAAATATATGAGATACTGTATGTTATAGTTAAATACAAAGTAACATTGACGCTAGAATAATTATACTCTAAAGTACTTTGCATATATGCATATTTCAAAACAAGTGATAAATTGTAAGAATTTATAAATTCACAAAATTAAAACAAATGCATCAAGAATTTACCGGAAATTCAAACAAGTGAAAGTCTATAAGAGTTTTGCATGCAAGAGAGCGTCTAATATTGAACCGAATAAACTAATCCAAGCGACTTTAAATGTGATAATGAAGCTAATTACCTAGTGTACACGGTTCACAAACAATTAATAACAAAGTCATGAAAAATGAAGGTCTTTTGCGATTTAGAAAAAACAAGACTGGCGATAATTAACAATTCACGAGAATGGAAATAAAACATCGACAAGAGTTACGAATTTTAGGGATCTGCGTAATATTTTAGGTACCATTTCCGATGCTGAAACAAATTAATTTGAGGCAATAACCGAGCAGGATGAGGAGTACATAGACATCAAGAGAAGAATGTATTACGACTAACTAATCAACCCGGACCTTTAAGTACGATGAAATTATAATTTAATTATTAAAATATATAAAAGATATGCACACTTGTTTAGTAACGTGCTTTATCAACAAGCCTTCTAATCGGCAACAATATAGTCTGAGAACAAAAGACTTATCGAATCGCATTCGTCAGGCGCGGAGGTCTTTATAGACGTCAACATCTCAAGTGTTTTACGGCTGTAGCTCGACTAATATGATAAATATCGAAAGTTTAAATTATACAATAAATTAAAGCAAAATTTAGAAAACAATACAATTATTAAAAAGCATTAGTTTCGTAACAAACAATTAAATTCGAGTGTAGATAATTTAGCATATCACAAAGAGGCACTCGTCTGGCGCCAATAACGCTAAGTCCATACTACGTACAATAAACAAAGACAATTTCCCCAATACACGTTACTACAGATAAGCAATTATAAATAACCATACCATGAAGTATAAATATGAAAATTTAAACAAAGAGAATCGTATATAATATTAAATTACTATGATAACTTAAACCTCGCTAAAATATTGCCTTGATAAAGATTCTACTGTCGCACCTAACAAAGGAAAAACTCTGAAAAACATCGAATTTCGACGCAAAATCTTGAGATAAAATTAATTATGTATGTAGGATCAGTGCAACAATATACCCTGATAAATATGAAATGATGGTCATCAGACATTCATAAACCCCTGAGCGGACTGAATTTGTTTATCATTGCTGAAGGACTTTTTCATGAATTATTGATAATGGAAACAAACCGATATTTCCAATACAATTGTCACACTGTTTACAATTCGCCAAAGAGTTTTAAATGAAACGGCTAACAATAAAAAAGACCATAAAAGAACTTTGAAAAGAATAATCCTAGCAGCAATTCGTATTAGTTCAATAAAAGTTACACGAAAAAACAATTTTTAATACAATGTTTTCCTTCAAAGGTAACTGAAAAATAAAAATAAAATTATTGGTTGTAGTTCGCTTAATGCGAAAAAAAATAGAAAAATGACTCCTAAGGTTTCAAAATAGTTCGTGCGGTGACCGGATAGATACGTGTTTATTAGTCGTTGTTGACTACTGTATTATAATGTCTAAAGAAAGTTTAAACAATTGAAATAAAAAAAAATCTAGATTACACAAAGTTCAATGTATGTACACTGCCTAACACATAAACGAATGGAAACTTCCCGTCTTATGAGGATAACGCGATAAGTCAAAAAAAAAAAACGAGGACACTGAAAACCTGAAAACACTGAATATAAATTTGTTTTGCGCAGCAATCACTTTGCATTTGAAATTCAAAATACATTTGACTGCATTTCGAAACATATTCAAATTTATGTGCACCTGGCATCCTGTTGACGCCTGTAAGATCTTTCCAGACGAGGACATGGACAAAACAATATTGATTTATTCCTCTGTCTTCAATCCGTCTTCAGACGATAAACACAAAGTCAAATACTTACTCGTAGTGACTTCTTCCTATACGACGTTACTGACAGGGGTTGGTATTGAATATCTTGTGCATGCGGCAGTGACACGCGGCCTGCACAAGATACCCGACACCAACACACGTCTGCTTCTTCTTCGATGTCACTTTTTACAGACAAATTAAAGCATTGAGAAGAAATCCTGCATATGCTACTAACTCTTTAATACCAGCCAGTGCATCACAAGTTCTGCTATAGCTGGAACTCCTGATATGGTTAAAATACAACTGTAAGTTGTAGTAAAGGAAGAATTCTCAATAAAGTCAAATCGTTTGATGGATACTATGGATAGTTCTGGTGAGTTTAATAATTTTAAAACATGATTGTTACCATCCTCGTGCTGTAGAAACCGTTGTCAGTGACTCAAGCTGTTCTCGAATATCTTGTGCATGCGGCAGTGCAATACGCGGCATGCACAAGATACCCGACAACAGCACCAGTCTGTTTTTCTTCTCACGGCGATACTCCTCAATTGTCCTTTAAAAATCTTCTTTCTTCTTTGAATAATTTATAATTCTAACACGTAAAGAATAATGCATCAAACTTCAAAAGATTAAAATGAACCAACTTAATTAAAAATCAAAAAGTAAAAAGACTACATACTAGTGGATAGCGAAGTCGTCTATGTCATATAAGTTCTCCACATTATATTATATTTAGCAATTCTGACTGTTTCAATATCCCTGAGAACTAAACACGTCAATGTTACTATTATCGTTGCATCTGGACATTAACGTTTAGATGAAGTGAGAGTAAACACAAATGTATTGCAAACATTTGCACTCAAATTCAGATAACGTACTTGTAGAAAATAATAAACAATAGCCGAGTATGCTCACAGCATTATCTGGGTCGCGGAGTGTTCCAGACCACATCGGATTTCTAGATTTCTAGATTAACGCTCAAATTCAACGTTTCACGAATCCATTACTATAATTTATTTTTCGATTGCGTGGGATTTAACACGGTCTAATCGTCTATACATCTTCTAAGTTCCACCGATGTACTAAATTCTTAAAAAGTTGTGAATAACTTCGGCAAATCGCGCACGAAGTTTCATAAACTATTCATCAACCGACATTCATCAACCGCAATAGTTGTAATTAAAAAAAAAAAATTCAATAACAACTAATCAAATTATTATTAAAATATTTAATTTTAAAACAGATCACAATTAAACGAGAAAAACCAATAAAACCATCAACGAGACTAGATGTTGAAAATCCAAAGATATAAAATCAATATCGCTTCAATTTATTAATTGAATATATGAGAGCGCCGCATAATGTAGTAAATTCAATATGCTAAAATAACAGATGCCAACAATAAAGAGAAAAGTAAAAAGAATGACAACGCAACAGTCGGTTGGCAATTGTTAAATGATTTGAGAAAAGATCATGAAACAAAGGCAATAGCCGAAGGAAGTCTGATAGCAACAGGTACCGCCTCTCGGGATAAAATCAATAACTGGGAGAGGGACTTGAAGTCGGACGAACTGCGCATGTCCTGTTCCCGGGACGTTTCAGGAGGCTCGGGGATACGAGAGAAATCAATAACTTATTATTAGACAAATACATCAATCGTGGACATATTGTAACTGGCTAATAATTTTAGAGGTTCATTTAATGTTTAATATAATAGAAAAAAAATGGTAGTTACGTTAATTACTATTAAATCAATTAACAAACTATTACTTCAAGCTATAGATAAAAGGGCGTGGTCGTGAGGCAAATATTAAAGTAGCATATTGGAACAAAAGTGATAATTATTACGCAAAAGCTAAATGTTTCGAACATAGCAAATATAAAACAGTAAAATCGTCACTTTTGTTTATTAAAGACAATAAGAAAACAATGTCCTAAAACTTGTTGTTAATATTAAACAGATTTCAAAATGGCGAAGAACTAATGAAAAAATTATCGCAAGTACAAGATGATAATTCAATGGAACATTGAATCAATCAATAAATTACAGGCACAATTGGATAACAAAGAGAATAACTAAATAACAAATGTAATAAAACTTTAAGGCGCAAGATCTAAATTGCAATAGATTTTAAACAATATAGGATACTCACACATCATGAAGAATTAACTTCTTGTGATATGCAGAACAAACTATTAGATACGTGTTGTTTTGAAGAAGGTAAGAGTCGTAATAAAGCTCTCCCGGGATAGCCAGGGCTGTTGTCGGACGGTCTGCGCATGGGCGGAGATCCCTGACAACCGTGTCTCCTTCCCTTAGGGGAGGGAGAGGGGGATGGTTGTCAGGGATGACCGCACCCTAAATTAATGACTATTGATTTGTAGTATTATTACATTGTACTTCGTATGATAGACAGAGGTAAAAACGAGAAGAGCAGAAACAAAGAAGGGAAATAATTATATAGAGACTAGCTTTCGCCCGCGACTCCGTCCGCGTGGAATAAAAAAAAAACAAACAAAAGTAAGTACCCAATGTGTTCTTCCAGAATATCCTCTACATCTATACCAAATTTCAAAGAAATCCGTTGAGCCGTTTAGGCTACAAACTCTAACAAACATTTATCCATCCATCCATCTAAACTTTCGCATTTATAATATTAGTATGAAGTATGATAATTGAGATGACAATAATTTTATTGAACCCTTAACTTTTTTTTGCCATTCGCGATGAGACGAGCTCATTAAAACCAATTGTTATAATTTTATTAAGTTAGAATCGTGTTATTATTTGCTGCTCGTATGATATTCAGCAAAAGATATTTAAGAGTCCGA